GACAGACAGAGACAGAAAGCGAGAAATCACCCCCCAGGGGGGATGGCCACGCCACAATCCCTTCTCCTCCATTCTCCTGTCAGGATCTTAGGCATGCACACACACGCGCCCAGTGTGAGTTTAAACCACTGGGTCCAGGACTCGAACTGCAGTCGACTACATGGGATCCAGTGACATAGCCATTATGCTAACTGCTGGTCCCAGACCACTTGCATTTTCTGGACATTTCATATACATGGAATCAGACATCACGTGGCCTCTCATGACTGACTCCTTCCACTTAGTGTGACACTTCCAAGGTTAATCATTTAGCATGTGTCTTTGTTTTCTTTTTACTTTTTTATGGTTGGATAATATTCTATTTCAAAACCTACCTGCCCCATTTTGGTTATCGCTCATCAGTCCTTGGACACATTTTGGCACCTGAGCTGCTCAGGGTTTGGGGAGAGCCTGGAGCAAAATGGAAGCTCACAGCCCTCGCTGTGCACTTCCTGTACTGCAGGGAAAATGCCTGTCTGGCTTCTGCCTGCTTTGCCCACTCTCCTATGTCTTGAAATAGATTTTTAAAATATTGTATCCAAATTTAAAACTGTTATCTAGGTGGGGGAGGGTAGTTAATCTGATCAAGCCACTTTGCTCTCTCCAGTCACCCTGGGCCTCCACGTGCACCTTGGGGCAGCTGTTGGGCCACCCAGCACCTCGATGGAGGTGGCGGAATTCCTCCTGGTGATCTGCTGATGTTCTCACTCTTTTCCATTCTTCCTGGGCACTCCTGCTGTCACAGGCCTCCATGAAGAAGTGGACTATTCTGAGAAGTTGAAGTTCAGTGACGATGAAGAGGAGGAAGAGGTTGTGAAGGACGGCAGGCCCAAGTGGTAAGCCCTGCTCCCCACCCGGCATGGTTGTCCGCTGGCGCCGGCCGTGTGTGAGCGCAATCCTGCTCACTGGGGCTGTGTGCGCTCCCTGGTGTCCCAGAGGCCTTGTGGGGCAGAGAGCATTTCCACTTGCAGATTTGGGTTGGTAACTGTTGAAGTAGCTGCTCCAGGAGCTAGGAGTGGTATCTAGGCCGCCTGAGGCCTGCGCTTAGTGGGCCTCTTCACCACCGTGCCGGTCTCCCCCCAGTGTGTTAGGCAGACCACTTCTCCCACAGATTACTTGTGGGTGTCACAGCCTGAAAGGTATCTATGGTCCTCGAGTTTGAGAGACCACCCTGGTTCAGCTTCTTTCTGTGCTCTGAGACCACCCAGAGCCTCAACTGTGCAGCAGTGTGCTGGGAAGTAGCAGACGGCAGTGCGCGGGTGTCAGGTTCCCACACTGGCTCCACGTCTGGACTCCTGCTTGACTCTTTTCTGGACCCCTTCATGAGGCTAGTTTTACTTAATGCCCTTAGGAAAAGCCCCACTACCCAGTCCCTCTAGTTTTTGTCGTGGTATCAGTCCTGGTTAATAAGACCTGTGCTCGCCATAGCTGCGTCCCGGGGCACTAGCAGGTCCAGGGCTTTTCCTTGGTTTCCGGTGGAGTTGCCTGCTTCCCTGCACATTGATCACTGTGCTCTCTGTTAGTGTGATTAATGTTTATAATGTTTAGATTCATGCTTTGTTCTGACTTTCCTCTTTCTGTGTTTTCTCATCAGTAGTTGAATTTATATGGTCAGTTGGGCCTGCAGGTCTTTTTCTTTGTTATTTCATCTTTTGCTTCAAAGCCCCTCAAGTGTCCCTCTTCTGGAGGGAGCCGGTAATGACCCGCCACTCTCTCTGATGGTATGCGAACAGTGAGCAAGTCGCCTTCTGTCCTTGGCTTTCATGCTGCTTGATTTCAGCCAAGGCTGGTGGTGCACTGGGCCGTTGCTGCGGTCGGTCAGGCACACTCTCTGGATTCATTCAACCAGGGTTCTGAGATGGGAAAGATGTGATCAGAACTTAAAGGCAGAGACATGGCCTCGCACAGGCTCCCTGAGCTGTAGGACCCCTGGTTCTTGTCTTGTTAGGTTGATGTGTATCGAATATTCAGCTGAAGGGGCTACACCTGGGCTTTAGACCGAGCTTTGCTACTGGCTATCACCAAAGACACCTCAAGTCCCGAGAGCCCAAACTACCTTCCGTCGAATGCTGCTCTTGTTTTGGTGTTCTTGTGCTGGCTGCTGATTCCCGCCTCCCGGAGGCTCACACTGCAAGCTTCCCAGTCCCCCCCCACACACACACACCCGTTTGGAACTCCCAGCTCCATCCCCTCTTAGTCAGGGCCTCCAGGGCCGTTCAGACCAGTCCTTTCTTCCCTGGGCCACCCAGCAGTCAGCCCATCTGCCTCTTCCCTTTCACCCTGGCTTCCTTGGCCCAGCTCCACCCTCGCTATACTTGTCTCTAAGAGGACCCAGGCCTTTGCTGGGGGTCCGATACTGGGTGTGGTCTCCTCACCATGCCAGTCGGGAGTCCCTGGCAGCTCTTGCCCTCTCTGTCACCTCCTGAGCTCCCTCCTCTGCCTGATCTCCCTCCGCCTCCACACGCGTGTGTGTGTACGGACACATGAAGGCACGTGTATTAGCCACACCGAGCCCCGCTGCCCTCTGGCCTCCCCCTCCTGGCACTTGTCGATGCGCAACTGGCGTGGCTCTGGGCGTTGCTGCCACCGCCCATGCAGGCTTCCACGCACATCTCCCTCCCGCTGAGCTCCCTGCGCCTCTGCAGGCCACCTTCCCCTTTCCCCTTGTGCTGGGTGTGTTTTGCTTCTCTCTGCTCTCTTCTGAGGTGTCTTTTTTAATTTTATTAATTTGTTTATTCATTTATTTCAATTTTACCAGAGAGAGAGAAAGGCAAAGTGAGAAAGCAAATCACCAGGTCTGGGACTCAAACCGTGGTCAGCCATATGGGAATGTCCAGCACCTTAACTACCACACCACCTGCTGGCTCCCACGAGGTGTCTTGTTGAGAGGATCGAGAAGCATTTATTGAGCCCCTTCTGCATACAAAGCACAGGGAGCGAGCTATAATAAGGGTACACTCCTCCTGGAGTTCTAGTTCAAAGCTGTCAGCGCCTCCCTTTGAAAATAGCTCCCCTAGCCCCTCTTGAGACTTAGTCACCACCTCTTTCCAGCGAGGAGCATGGAGGGCTTCCTTGCAGTCAGTGCGAGAGTGGATGTGACACACGCCGCCTTGTGGCTTCATGTGCAGGATGGACTCGGCATGCGCCGGTGCCTTGGCGTTCACACATGCACAGGCCAGGGCGCGATCTCTTCTGGCAGGAAGTTTGTTCCCGCAGGCCTCTGACTGGGGCTCAGGTGTGCTCGAGTGACAGGGCAGACCTAACGCTGGGTGCCGTTTGTCCTAGGAACAGCTGGGACCCTGGAAGGCAGCAGCAGCTGTCGATGAGCTCCGTGGACAGCTCCGATGCCAGGCGTACCCAGGAGGAAGGGAAGGACTGGAGTGAAGCGGTGGGCATGCCCCGCGTCGTCCGCAAGGTGCCGGAACCTCAGCCGCCTTCCAGGAAGCCCCACAGCTGGGTGTCGAGCCCTGATTGCCAGGTACTGGGCCCTGGAGGCTTCTGTGCTGGGCTGATGCACTGGGGCAGACGGACACACGGTCTCTCTCTCTGGATTCTGAGACGAAGACGGCAGGCGGCATGGCTGCGGGTCACGTGTGTTTATATGTTACCAAGTTTGCTGTCCAGGGTGGGAATTTCTCTTTTTATAGCCACCAAGTTATAAGAAAGTTGGAAATACAATGTAAATATTTTCTTCCAGAGGACTGAGTCAGTTGCCAACCTCATTGGGCCCTCTCACCTTAGAAAACGTGGGTGTCTGTCCCTACCTGGGCGTCTTCCTCAGATCCAGGAAGCTGGCGTTGGCACCCCTGTCATGTAATCCTCAGACCTCATTCATCTTTTCCCAGTTATTTCATTCATACGAAAGAGTTCAGTTCAGGACTGTACGTAGGGGCCTTAACGAGCTTAAGGTAACGGAGTCTCACGTGGCCAGCTGGGCGGTTGGCGTCCTGGACCCTGTGGGTTGAAAAACACGTCAGGTGCACATGTGTGTCCACAGTCCTGAACAGAGGGAGAAATGGGGAAGAGGGGATTGTGGTATGACCATCCCCCGGGGGAGAGTCCTCACTTTCCCTGTCCATCTCCAGTGGGTGGACACGTCCTCTGGCAAAATTGGGGTGTGGCAGGAAAAGAATCTCACGTTGTGTCACAGTGTGAACTGGTCCCCAGCCTTTCCTTACTGAGCCTTTCGACGGTTCAAGACCAGCGGAGGCCTCTCGGGTAGGTGTGTCTGCTGTTTCCGCTCTGCGGTGCGGTTTCTGTCCTTGGCAGGAGTGAGGACAGCACACCGATGCTTCCCGCTGTGTCCTCCCAGGTGCCTGGGACCGCTCTGGGGACATGCACTTTGACCTCTAGATTAATGTGTCTACCAAGTTCCCTGCCTCAGGATTATGTTTTTCTCCATTTGTGGTTGATAAGAATTTTGTGGGGAAGAACTTTGACATTGTGACCGTCTCATTTCTCACCAAACTTTCCATCTATTTATTTATATCAGTTGGTTATAATCTGATAATTCTCACTATGTGGTTTGAAGCTCGTATTATCTTTTTTTTTTTTTTTTTTAAGAATGTTTTTAGGGGACCTCCCACATGGCCAACCACAGTTTGAGTCCCAGACCTGGTGGCTTGCTTTCTCTGTGTCTTGCTCTGGCAAAATAAAATAAAATAAAATAAAATAAAATAAATGAGTGAATGAATAAATAAAATTAAATAAATAACTCTTTAAAAAATTATTTTATTAACTTTCTATATTTATTTATTTGTTTTTAATTTGATCAGAGAGGGACAGGGGTGGGGGGAGTGAGAAAGCTAGCCGCCAGGTCCAGGACTTGAACCACTGTTAGCTCTGAGGGAGTCCAGCGCCCCTAACCACCACACCACTTGCTGACTCCGCTCATCGTGTCTGATCTGACCACAGGCACTTCCTGAGGCTGGCCTATGTGCCGTTTTCAGGCCAGCTTTTTTTGCTGTCTTTTTTTGAGCGCTTCCTTGCTTTCTGCCAGAATAACCTTTTCTGACCTCGCCTGGCCCTTGGTCCTGCCTGCCCTCCCTCAATGAGCTCAAGACATCCCGATTCCTTTTAGCAAAGGGCATTCAGAGACCTAAATACCTGCGCCCCTGAGTGCTCCTCACTGTCGGGGATTTCTCAGTGGACAGAATCAGGGAATGTGCGCATGTGTTTCCACGTACGTGTGTGTACACGGGTCCATGCACACACATTCACATACACACCCTCAGTGCCTGTCTCTGTTGAAATCTGAGTTGACGGTGATATCTCCAGCTTCTCAGAATTCATTCACTTCCTCCATTGCATATGAAGAGTCTAAAAACTTTGTGAAAATGTGTATTATGAGAAAGCCATGCACGCCTTTCAGCATTTTCTGTTCCAAAATAAGCTTGTACCTTAGCTCCATTTTTCCATGAGGTCCTTGGAAGTCCCCTCCTATACTTCTTGAGTCTGTTGTTCCCTTGCTAGGACATTATCTGAGGGGAATAATCAGAGCTGGGTGTGGCTTCGGGGAGGAGGAGGGCCGTGAGCCGGGCAGTGGTAGTGCCCAGTGTCAGTGCCGCAGACCCGCAGCGAGTGAAGACAGCACACTTGGCTCTCACGCCGGGCATGGGAAAGGCGTCTTCATGCCGCTGAGCTGGGGGTTTGTAATCTGATTACTGTAATTAGTTCTGGGTTACAAGAAGTTAATTTTTAGGTGAAAGCTCTTAGACTGCAGTAAATGTGTTGCCTCCTCTTGTGGAGGTGCAATTATCCTGCAAGAAAAGGCCTAGATCTTAGTTTTTCTTTTGATGGTTTTTGATAGTCCTATGTTTCTGTAACTACCATTGAAACAGGAAGTCATGTCTCTTTTTTTAAAGAATTATTTATCATTATTGTTATTTTAAAATTTGCTACAGTGGGGGCCAACAGGTGGCATGGTGATTTAAGGGCGCTGGACTCCTACATAGCTGACTGCAGTTCAAGTCCCAGACCTGGCGGCTTGCTTTCACTTTCTCATTCACTCACTCACTCTGTCCCGCTCTGGTCAAATGAAAAGAAATAAATAAGTAAATAAATAAAGTTAAATAATTTTGCTTTTTTAAATTGCTGCAGTGCCTTTGTGCTCACCGCAGAGAGAGAAAAAGTGAGAAGGCAAGCAGCGAGGTTCAGGACTCGAACTGTGGTCAGCCATGTGGCAGTCCAGTGCCCTGGCCACCCGACCACCTGCTGGCCTGTCAGGTATTTTTTCGATCATCGAATCTTGTTGGCATTTCAGTGACTGGGGTTTGGGTAGGGGCTACCTCATGCTCCCATGCAGCTTCACTCCCTGCAGACCAGGGGAAGTCTTCCCGTTGCTGAGTACTGCTCACACCGCTGCTCTGGCAGCCGAGAGCCAGTTCTGAAACGTGTGAGACACCGAGTTGCTTCCAGACGTGCTTCCCCGTTTTTACGTTCTCGGCCCTTTGCCGTGGCACATCTGATGGTGACCTGTGTGCACTCACCTTCCTGCCCGGGGTCTGTGACTGTCTATGGGGGAGACAGAAGCGGCCCTGTGACTTGGGAGGGCAGTCCCAGGTCCTGCTCCTGCCTGGTACCCCTGCCTCGTGTGCACCAGCTGGGGACATGTGTCCTTTCTCTCCTGTCCTGTGCGTCGATCGGGGTTCCGTGTTTGCAGACTGTACTTTGCGTCTCCTTCACTGTCCCAGCGGCACCTTGGTTGTCCCCGCTTTCAGACGAGGATGTAAGGTATAAACAGCTGGTACTTGGCGGACCTCACCCCAGACAGAGCAGAGGATGGGGCAGGGTCAGAGCTTGGGTTTTGTTGCAGGACTGTGCCATATCTTGAAGATGCTCGAGGACCTCCGGTGAGCTGACCTGTTGGGGTTCGTGACCTTCCGTTCATCAGGGTCCCCTTCTCTCGGCAGAAGCCCTCCATGGGCAGCGTGTTCCGGCAGCAGTCTGTGGAGGACAGGGAGGACAAGCCACCCCCGCGGCAGAAGTTCATCCAGTCGGAGATGTCCGAGGCCGTGGAGCGAGCCCGAAAGCGCCGGGAGGAAGAAGAGCGCCGTGCCCGGGAAGAGAGGTTGGCCGCCTGTGCCGCCAAACTCAAACAGCTCGACCAGAAGTGTAAGCAGGCCCAGAAGGCCAGCGAGGCCCAGAAGCAGGTGGAGAAGGAAGCCCCCCGATCTCCAGGCACCGACAAGGCGACCCCGCAGGAGAACGGTCCTATTGTCCGCAAAGGTGAGGGGTGGGCCTTGTCCCCACCTGGAAACCCTGGCCCGCTGCCAGTGGTGCCACTTGCATCTCCCTGACTGCCTCGGTTGCAGATCCCGTGGCTTACGGCGGAGGCACATGGGGAAGCAGCCATCTCTGCGGGCTCAGGCCTGGCAAGTGCCTTGGGTCCTGGTTCTGTTTAGGCTCCACGAAAGAGCTGGCACAGTGCCACCTCTCTGGAGGCTGGGCCATCTGTGTGGTGGGGCGAATAGTAGCCAAGGGACCACATGGGGTGATGTACGTGGAGCGTGCACATGGCTTGCAGCATGTAGGAAGCATTCCTGTGTTCACTGAGAGGCCGGCTTTGTCATTGCTGTCACTATCACTGTTACCATTCCTGCCTCTGCCCAACCAAAGCTGCCAGTGCTGGATGGAGGGCCTTAATAAGAGGTCAGGATCCTTCTTCATCCTACGTTAGTTCTAAAAGGAGTGGGGCCCCCGGCTATGTAAGAGACCTGGAACAGCCCCATAAACAGAATGAGTGTCTCCTGTGGCCATTTGCTTTGATGACTTTTTTTTTTTTAATTGCCAGGACCCTATGCTTATGAGAGAAAAGAAAGGAGGGAGAGAGGGAGAAGGCACCCCCCTAGTGGGATGTAGTCACACCGTGACCTTTTTCCTCCACTTTTCCATCCCACCAGGATTTGAGGTGTGCACACACATACCTGATGTATTTCCTAAGCTGCCAGCCCTGGGTTTTGAACCACAGTTGGCCCTGGGATCTGCTCCCCATGACTGTGCTGTGCTGCTAGGCGCGGGACGGGGGGCAGTCCTTTTGTAGCAGCTAAAATGGAATGTGACCAGCTCAGAGAATCCAGCCAGCTGTGGTCTGCAATCTTCTCGGATCCGCTCCAATCAACTGCTTTTAGGAGGCAGGATCCTGATGTTAGTTTCAGCCTCCAAAGGTCTGGGGAGGAGTCCGACAAGCATTGGTGCCCTCAAGCCAAGGCACCCCAGCCCGGTTTTCCTCGAGACCCCTTTCTATTACAGCGCGAGTACCGACGCGCAGGTCTGAGGAGCTCCTTGAGAAGGGCGGTGGAGACCATGTCGCGCGTTTTCTGTTCTCAGGCTCGTTTCAGAGTACATCCACTAATGCCTCGCTGAATTCTCACAGAGCCCCGAGGGGTTGGCATGGCGTTATCCTTATTTACAGTTGAGATGGGCCCGAAGAGACTGAAAAAATGCCCTTTATTTTTAGATAGTTTTTAATTGCCAGAAGGCACATGTGCTTGCTGGAGATAGGAAGGGCTCCCTGTGGGGCCAGTAGGTGGCATGGTGGTTAAGGCACTAGACTCCCACACGGCTGACCGTAGTTTGAGCCCTGGACCTGGCTGCTTAAAAATCATGCTGGGTGGGTGTGTGTGTGTTTTCCAGGTCCTGAGAAGAGAATGGAGGAGAGGGGATTGCAGCATGACCAAACCCCCTGGGAAGTGATTTCTTACTTTCCTCCTTTCTCTGTCTCCAGTGAGTGCCTGTACCCTATGGCAAAAAAAAAATGAAAAAGAAAAAATTTAAAAAAGATAAAGCACCCTGCCATGGGACATGGCCACGTTGCAGTTCTTTCCTGCATTCACCATCCCATCAGGGTTTTGGTTGTGCTTGTGCATATGCCTGGCATGTTTTCCCAGCCACTGGGCTGGGGTTCGAACTCTGTGGCCACGTGGGATCTGGCTTCCTTAACTGCTGAGCTATGGGGCCAGCCTCCCACAATCTTTTCAAGTAAAACTTCTCCCACCCAGGATCAGACCCCAGCTCTGCCCCTGAGAATGTGACCCTGGGAGGGTCTTCAACCCCTGAGCCCATAGTTTCTCACCTCTGAAGTGGTGATGGGTGAAGCTGCCTCGTGGCGTTCCGTGGGAGTCCTGGTTCCGTGCATGTCCAGCACTGGGCAGCGCCGGGTGCGGGTGCTGGGAGAGGAGCTGTGTAGCAGCTGGCCGCTGAGCCTCTGCAGGCTCACTCTGGTGTTCTCTGTTGACGTGTGCTCTAGGCTCCCCAGAGTTCCCTGCCCAGGACGCCCCCTCCGCATTCTCAGAAGAGGCACCCCCGGCCTCGCCGGCCATGGTTCAGAGCAGCACCAGTGAGGAGGAAGGCAGGGAGGCCGCGTCCCCTGCACAGGAGTTCAGCAAGTATCAGAAGTCCCTTCCGCCCCGCTTCCAGCGCCAGCAGCAGCAACAGCAGCAGGTAAGCAGATGAGCCAACACAACGGTCATTACCAACACCCTGGCTGTGGCACAGGTGGGCCTGTCACCAGCAGGGTGGCAGGAGGCTACCTCAGAACTTGGGACCTTGGCAGACGGGCAGGCCCTGGTGGTTTTCCCCCGAGTGATAGACACCCGTGCGAGTGAGTAGGGCCCTCACAGTGCCCTGTAGGCGAGGCCTTGCTGTCACACGTCGATCAGGAAGGGTTAGTGAGATGTGCTACATGCCCCATTGGGTTTGCTCCACGGGTGGCTTTTCCATTCCAGGGCAGCGTACCTTGGACTTCCATTAGTGGGTGCTGGGCCCCACCCTGGAATCCTCCCAAGGCTTAAGGGAGGCCTGTGAGTTGTTTGAGAAGCTGGCAGAGTGAGGCAGGGCAGCTTGGGCGTAAGGACGGAGAGCCACAGGTTTCCTGTTGGACAGCCGTGGTCTGTGGTCCTGGTGGTGCAGCCTTGGATGGGTCCGTTCCGCTCCTAAACCCTTGTTCTCTCACATGTAAACCAGGGAGAATGAGTGCTTGCCTTTCAGAGAGACGGTGAGGGTGTCGTGCCTGTAACCGGTGTATCAGTGTCTTCATCGTCCATGTCTCGTAAACTGTAAGAGGAACTACTTTTTGGCCAGATCTTGCAGTTAATGGTTGCAGTCCTGCCACCCTTATGCTGGTCCCCTCGCCCAGCCCGGAGCACTCTTCGTATGTGTATCTTAGAGTTGTGACACACGAAGGAGAAACCACTGTCCTTGAGGACCAGTGCGTTTGAGGGCAGACCAAGGCCGCACGTAGACACCACTTCGTGCCTGCCTGTGCCAGCGTATAGGTCGTTCTTGACAGGAGCCAGGCGTGTGTGAGCTGTGTGCCCTGGAGCCTTTTCTCGGTATGTTAGTTCCCGTGAGCACTTGCACACCAGCTTGTCCCCTTCTCTGGGCTCCGAGGACGCAGTCCGTTAGCTGCGTTTCCAGCGTGGTGGTGTGAGCCCTGTGTGCATGTGTGCTGGGAGTCGACACACTGATGGGGAGGATGGAGCTCTGGGTCACTCGTGCCAAGTGCAGCAGCGTGGCGGGGCAGCCAGTGATGTGTAAAGCCTTAAGAATGGAAAGAAAGCAGAAAGCCCCGGGGCAGCCTGTCTGGCCAGAGTCCCTGGGGACCTGGGTCTAGACAGGAGGGGCTGGGGGAGGAGGAGCAGCCTCTAGGGCTGGAGAGTTTATAGCTTGAGTCTCCTTATCAATGAGGTCTGTGTATAGAGTGTGCCTAGAAGGGACTGTGCATGCCAGGTGGCAGGCCGCGGGCTGGCGGGTGGCCTTGTTTGCAGAGTGGAAGGGCGTGCGATGGAAGCTTCCAGGTTGGGATCCTCAACTCACTTAGCACATGAGCCTGTGATATGCTGGTCAGGATTCACGGCCAGGCAGCACCAGAGGTTGCCGTGGCTGAGAGCAGGTTCTGAAGTGGACCTTCTCCAGTCAGTGGCCCGGGCTTTGACTGTTCGTCTGACACCTTGTTCATCCTGATGCCCTGTGTGCCAAGTATTGTCCTTGCGGCCGGGAGACTGTAGTGAGCCAGGCATGCGGGTCTTTTAGGATTTAGTGAGGGAGACCAGCCTTTAAAGTAACACACTGTTTTCTTCCTAGAGAGATTTTTGCTGTAGGGTACGTATAGTTGTCAGAGAAGCAAGAGAGAGAGAAATCACCCCCCAGGAAGGATGGCCACGCCCCAATCCCTTCTCCATTCTCCTCTCAAATTTTGGACATGTGCATACACATGGTCAGCGTGAGTTTTAAGCCACTGAGGCTGAAACTCGAACTGTGGTCAACCATGTGGGAGTCCAGTGACGTAACCATTGTGGTATCTGCTGGTCCCAAAATCCCACACTGTTATTAGTGCTGCACAGGAGAAGTGTCAGTTCATGGCACATGGAATAAGGGACCTGATCTCACTTACGGGCTCATGGCGGGCTTTCTAGAGGAAGCATTTTTTTAAGCTGGAAATCGAGGTGTGGGCAGACAGAGGGCAGGTATGTTCTGTGGCCAGAGCAGGAAGGGTGCAGAGAACTCCTGTGTGGAAACCCCAGAGGCATGTGGAGCGAGATCCTGCAGGACCGGAGGTCACGCGGAGTCCTGAGGAGTTCAGGGTGTCAGGCAGCTGCAGCAGAGACCCAGTGCAGGCCCTCTTGAGCCAGTGCTCCCTAATGGGGTGCACGTGACTAGGCATATCACCCTGGTGGAGTGTGGAGAGTGGGTTGAAGAGGAGAGGAAGGGGGAGGGTGATGACCGTCCTCAGCCGTGGACTAGACCAGGGGACGCAGCCAGTGTCTTGATGCTCTGGGTGCCAGGTCAGCCCCAGGCAAGCTTGTGCCCAGGGAAAGCCTCAGCCGCTGGGGTAGTGCAGGTGCGTGTGACAGTGGCGTGGCCGTCCATCCAGCCTGGAAGCCGTGGTGTGCTGGTGCCTCACCTCGGGCCAGGTACCCCCACCCTCTGCCGTCCGAGTGGGCGGCCCCTCCCCACCCCACCCCTGCACCATCTCACCGGCCTTTCTCTCCCCGCTCAGGAGCAGCTGTACAAGATGCAGCACTGGCAGCCCGTGTACCCACCGCCCTCCCACCCGCAGCGCACCTTCTACCCTCACCACCCCCAGATGCTGGGCTTCGACCCCCGGTGGATGATGATGCCTTCATACCTGGACCCTCGGATCCCTCCCGCTCGGACCCCCGTGGACTTCTACCCCTCGGCTCTGCACCCTTCAGGTGAGCACATGGCTGCTGGCCCCAGGTCAGGTTGCGTGACCGGGCTGAGCTTTAACTTTGTACGT